AATGCTCAACACAGAAAACAAACATGCAATTAGGCTCCTTGAAGTTTTTACGGATAATAGTTATCTTCTTGAGAGGCGTGATTCATTTTTTGAATGAAAAACTTGATACTGTGGGCACACAAAGACAATACACCAGTAATACAAACAACAACATAATTGCTATTTCCTTTATGGTTTTAAAGTTGGAACTGCTTCATGTTTTAGTAACAGTTTCTTGTTGAATCTGGCATTGAATTCGTGGAGATTCTGGAAGCTTTCTTTCGTAAAAAGGGGCAGCACAGACGGCTAAATTACGATCGTCGTGTTCAGGAACATAATCAAACATACATTTTATCCATTGTTGATGAACAGCGTCCGTGGGAAGCTCGAACACAGAAGACCTGACAGCTGGGTGAACACAACACACTCGACTAGCCGCAGAAATATGGCCATGCCTTTTTTTTGCATATTTCGGAGGGAGGGGTTGATGTAAATGTATGGGTTGGTGACGTCTAAAACCCTGTTGTAGTCCCAATCGAGTTGTTTTTGTAGGGAGTAAACTTCTTGATTTTTAAAAGACAATATCTCTGCTTACATTGAACTTTCAGCGCTGCAACTATACTATTCATGCACCAACAGCAACATTACACACTATTTAAAATGAATCAACCACCCCTTTAATTTTGAAATATGTATCATGAAACCATATTGGCCTACTTTAAAAATAATACTTTATATGGAAAAAGAATTTTCTTTTCAAGATTTTTCCGACTCTAACTTTGAACCAATTCTACACCATGGCCCGTATAACCTTTTTGACCAGGATTTGTTTTCAGGTTTGACTAAAAATGGGTTTTTGACTTTCATTTATATATATATATATATATATATATATATATATATATATAAATAAATGTGTGTATGTATGTTGTCCTTTCAATTTTTTCTTGTCTGACTCACCTGAACGAAAGGCTCATTATTATGCGTGTGAAAGATTAGACAGGATGATTTTCAGATCATTGTGAAGAAAAAACTCTAGGCAACAACATCCTTTAGTCAAAAGTCTTGTGGACGCATATTTTGTGGCCTTATTTCAGAAACTTTCATTTTTTGTTTTTTCAATAACCACGCATAAACAATATTCTCTCAAAAATACAAACATGTACAAGTACATACATGTTGCTCAGATATTATGGTAGCCCTGTTTGGGCTAAATATAGTGTAATTTCACCTGTGCCATTAATATGTTTATAAGCAACTGAAAAAAACACAAATGTCACAGCATGTCAAAACATCTCAAGGACCCCAAAAACACCTTGGTCCCCAGGGGGTTAAAATGAAAAAAATATTCGCAGTGTTGGCAGTGATCTTTAGCTCTTCATCAAGGTTGGCTCTACACAAAATAACTTGTGATTGAGCGGTGAATGCGAATGTGCTCTATTGTTAGGGGAGAGATCAGCCTCAGTGTGTCATCAAGAAGGGGCGTGTCCACAAGCTCAGGGGCTCCAGTGCGTCATCGAGCCCTGTTTTAGCCCCGCCCAAAAAATCCATAAAATAGCAATGGTGAAAATCTGTTTAACGGTCTAACTTCGTATTTCAATACTTCACAGTTCACAGTCTTTGTAACATGTTTTAGCAATACATTTTTAACATTTACAAAGATTTTTTTTTTTTTGTAGAATTGCCCTTACAGGGACTTTAATATCGGAATATTGTTGTCCATGTAAACATACTGATAGATGATCTTGGAATATGGCATGATGTGATGTCCTACATGGTTGTTTAAGAAATGAAAAGCTATACAATCCATCAAATAGGGTTAGAAGAACTGTAGCCAAACCAATAACATAATAAATCACTGCAATAATGATCCAATCATATAGACTCTTTTTTTTCCGCAACTATTTTTTTGGGGCCGGGAAGTGTGTATACATTACTGTACATAGAATTTAAATTAAAATGTTTTCCACTTATGACTGGAAAATCAGAACAATGCTCTAAATGTCGTCTTTTAAGCATTTGCCTTTGTTTTTATTTTTTGTTCAATCAGTTAAATTATGTTTGGAATAACACAGCCTTGAATTTCAGAATGATAGTTCTGCCCCTTGTTCATTCCTTAAAGCAACACAAGCTGATTAATAGAGAGGAATTACAAAAGGAAATCCGTAATTCAATTCACACTCAGACAAAGAATAAGCCCTCTATTCAAGCTGAAATGTGCTTGTGCAGAGCCTCATTCAAGAGAGATCTTTTTTCCCCCCTTCCTTTATTACAGAAGGATGTCATGCAGTAATCAGTTTGATCCAAATAAAGACATACTGCCAATTATCAGAACCATGAGCAGCTGGGTGTTACCCTCTAAACCCTGCACTCTCATAAAAGACTGACAACCAATTACATTTCCATTTAAACAAAGTGTCATTTTCACTACATTTGACTTGACTTTCTAATAGCCAGTGTTAAGTATAATATAAATATGAACTATTACGGGAACTATTAAAATGTTTCCATGGTTAAAATGATTTAATGGGGGTGGGGGGATGGGAGGTGGCGTTTGCCTGTTTACAATGTACAGCCCATTAGGCTTGTGTGTAAACATTGTTTTAGGTAAGTTAATTTTAAATGTAGAGGCAATTAGGCAGAGGCTGTTCTCATTGTCACACCCATCAGGATTCATGGCCTATTATGTATAATCGATAGCGATTGCTGCTGGAATATGTGAGGAGAGCACCCATTGAGGTAACAGGAATATACTGATTGGTCTATTTATTCACTTTGGATCTGTTACGCTATTGAGATTGGATTATTTTGTTTTGGTTTTTTTTACATTTCAGGTAATAAACATTCTATTTTATGACTAACGCTCACTGCCTGCTTAACCTGACCTTGATTTTATTTGTTTGTGCATTATTCTTTTTTTACTTTTTCTAAACAATACAAATAACAAACTATAGCCTTCTTTTTCTTCTAGAGCCTTCTATTTTGTATTCCTTTTTATTTTCCTCTTCCTCACTCGCTCCCTTATGACTGGATTTTAAAATAAGGTGTGGGGTGGGGGGTGGAAGCCTGGGCAGAGGCATGTGGTCTTATTGATTGGCCAGTGTCTTGCTCCTCCAAGCCCAGAAGCGCAAGACTTGAGAGATGCAACACCTTTCTTTTTCTTTAGTTGTGACCCTCAATCTCCTCCAATCATTCACCAGCGTGAAGCAATATGGCACAAACATAAGTGGGTACATTTTACTTGAAATAATTTTTTAACTTTTTTTTTTTTTTACACAAAATGTTTCATATTGAAGCTCCGAAGGGCAAAGTGAAAAAACTGCTGTGTGTAACAATCTATTTCTTCTGCATATTTTCAGATTTTTCTATGTATTTTTCCTTTTTTTTAGTTTGCATACAGATGCCCTTTAAAGGGATAGTTCAAGTTCACCCCACAATTCTTTTAACTCTTTCTTTGTTGCAAACCTGTATCTGTATGACTGTTTCTTCAAAAGTCTCATTTTTGAAAGTACATTTTCAAAATATGTTCTACTGAAAAAATAAATCAAATTACAGCAAGTTTTTATTTAGAATACATTATGGCAGAAATTTTATATTTTGGTAAACTACTAAAAAAATATGTAATATAAAAATGTTTATCAGATTCAGAAGCCATGAATGAGGTTGAAAAAAAAAAACATCAATGACTGACTTGCTAATGCTATTTAGCATGAAATCTGAATCACAGTAAGTGCTGTAGATTTGACTATGCTATTTTTAGTCACCTATTCTCATTTTATGTATGTTAGGTAAGTTCAAAATGTACCAAACATATCTAATAATAAGCCAATGTCAATTGTTGCAATGTGTAACCAGTAGTCTACAATGTTCCCAATGTTTGATTTTGACCACTTTTTAGCTCAAATAATGTTAAACAATATCCATATGATTATCTGGACCATTAAAGCATTATCATATGCTTACTTTATGGTTTATTTTCATTGCTGTATTTACAGTGAATAAATACTATATAGCGAATGCCCATATTTTTCAATGTCCACCTCCTTCTAGTAAGACAACTTGTGTACAGCATGAGCCTCTGTGTCCTTTCTATCTGCAACTTAAAGCTCTATATGTTGTCAGTTCAGGGAACAACACCTCCCTTTGCTCAGACTGAGCAAATTCATCTCAGCACATTATACAGCATGGATATCTCCATGATCTTTGGGAGCTTTGTAGAACAGCCTGTTTATTTTCAAAACTACTGTCATCGCACATAGTGATCTGGAAAAAGCCCCTATGTGTCCCCAGCTGTTTTTTTCTTTCAGTGTTTTTGTCTCTTTGCTTATATGCTCTTAAAGTGTACAGCACAGTTTACAACTTAAAACCCATTGCCTTATTATTAAATCAGCATGGATTATTAATCATTTTGTTATGTGAACTTGATAATTCTACATAAGTTAATTTGTTCAATTACGCAGGGAGTTTATTTAATTATTTTGAGGCAACGGGTTTCCTACATTACGACACTAGTAAAGAACGTTTATATATATATATAAGTCGTGGCAACTCTCACATATTTTTTCTTTTGCTATTGGAGCGAAATACAAAAAGGATATTTACTGCCGCAACCGAACTATGAGGAATTCTGCTTCTGAGAACCCCTGTAATGTGAAAAGGGTCCATTGCTAGAAAGTTACGGGCAGTTGAGTTTGATCAAGGTTGGGCCAAAGTGAAGAGTGAAAAACATCTGATCTAACTGATAATTAATACAATTAGTTTTGCCTTGATGAAGGGGTACTTGAGCATTTTTGATGAGGCAAGGGGATGTGTAATACAAAAATGTGTAGAAATATTGCTATGACAGATATTTGAATTGAATAGGCAACAAATTGGAAAATATAATGTGAATCAATATCTTTTTGTTGGAGCAATACCTGAGAAAAATAAAACCAAAAGACTAATGCAATTAAGTAAACAATTCCAATTTTGCAAGACATAAATAACTAACTTAACTTAACCAACTGCCTCTCTTATTTTAGGAGCATTTCCAGCCAGTGCGCTGTACGCCCGGCGTGACCGCCTGCAGCGGCCTTCACACGTTGCCACCAAAACCTTCCAGGCCTTACGGATATTTGTAAACAACGAACTCAATGAGTTGCACGCCGGCCTGCATGTGGCGCAAACTCTGCTCCGTCCCAAGGGGCGACTCTGTGTTCTCACCTTCCATTCCTTAGAGGACCGGCTGACCAAACGTTTTCTTCGTGGAGAGGACCTGGCTGCCCCACCACGCCGCAGCATTCGCCAGCGAGCCAAAGCCCAGCATGGATTGGAGAGAGAGGAGCAGGAGGAGGAGGAAGAGAATGAAGAAGGGGAGAGGGGGCGAGAGAGTGCACATTGGGTCAGTCTGAAGAAAGTGATAAAGCCATGTGAGGAAGAGGTGCAGGAGAACCCAAGAGCTCGATCAGCTAAACTCAGAACAGCAGTAAGACGATAGACAGTGGTGAAAATTCTGATTGCTAATTTACATTTTTCTGTGTGTAGTTTCAGTAATAAATATTAGATCTCCTGAAATTGTTCTCGTGACTTATTGTTAAAAATGTTTTTGGCTTGGCCATGAAGACCGCATATCTGGCTGAGGTGCCAAAGTGTACCTACACCAAAGTGTATTTAAAATACATTTATTTTTATATTTTGGTAAACTACTAAAGTAATGTCGCTTGAGGCTTATGATGTAAATATTATAATTAAGTTTATTTGGAGTACTTCTTTATTGCAAAACGCACATTTCTTAATATTAAGCCTGAAGGCACGGGCCGAAACGCATCTGTGCAGTAAAGAGCTTAAGAAAAGAATGTATACTCTCTCCTATTTTTAGTTTTTTTAATATTAAGCCTAAAATGTGTTTTAATGTCACTATTAGTAAGGATGGTATGATCTCTGTCTAATATCATTCTTTAAATGCAAGATATTTAAAGTGTACCTGCAATAGTTTAGCACAATCAAATATACTTGAATATTTCTTTAGTTGGACCTCAGCACTATTTCCAGATTTGTAGTACACTTAGTATGAAATAAATGTATTTTAAATACATGTTGATGCATTTATTTTTCACTTTGTCATTTGATTTTGAATATTTTGTGTTTTGTTTTCAGTTTAGTTTTTATTTCTAGTTTATTTTCAGTTTGTGTTTACAGTTTAGTTTTCATTTCCGTTGTTTAGATTTAGTTATTTAGTTTTACTAGTTTAGGGCTGTCAAAGCTAATGTGCTAACTGGCATCATTAAAAATTATTTAAAGGGATATTTCACCCTAAAATGAAAATTGTGGCATCATTTTCTCACAGAAGCTGTTCCAAACCTGTATAAGTTTATTTCTTCTGTTGAACACAAAAGAAGATATTTTGAAGAATGTTGGTAACAAGAAAGTTGATGGTAGCCATTTACTTCCAGTAGGGGTAAAACAATTACTATGGAAGTCAATGGCTACTGTCATTATCATAACTGTCTGGTTACCAACATTTAAAATATCTTCTTTTGTGTTTAACAGACGAAACATACTCGTACAGGTTTGGAACAACTTTAGGGTGAGTAAATGATGACAATTTAAATTATTGCTATCTAACGATATTTGAATGTTTAATGCAGATGGGTTATAAAGTTTTATAACAGACCATACCAAACACTAAAACAAAAATGAATGTCAGCACTAAATATATATTCTGATCTATCTTCTAAATGCATGTTGTTCATTGTGCACAATTTATTCATGCATTTCTTCTTTTTTTGGGACCCTGTAAAACTATTATAACTCAAACTTCTGATGATCTGTCAGACTTCTATCTGGTGACGTGCTCGACTTCTCCAATCATTTAGTCTGCTTAAATCAAACCCCTTTCTTACAATTTTAACTTAATGAAAAAAATAAATAAAAAAGTTAATGTATAGTTTTCATTAAAGCTAACTGTATGGAGGCACTCAAGGTTGAATCCATCTTATACCTGCTGAGCCGCCCTTTCCATTGCACCAAGAAATAATAGACCTTACAACATACAGTAACTGGCTCTGTTCAGCTCATAGACAGATTCAGGATCACTTCACACATGGATTCAACCCAGCTCTCACCTTTTCCTGACTCATTTCTTCTGCATTGTCATGAATGTAGTGCTGAAGTCCGGCAGCTACTGTAGAATAAAAAAAATGATCAGCCACATAACACACTCTTCACTCCACCATGAAAGGAGAATTGTACAACATTTAATCTCAAATGTAATTTACGTTAAAAAGTTTGCCACAGTCGATGCGTTTGCATCGTTACCGTATGTGAAAGGGTTGGGTTGTGATCATGGGCATGCGTACAGCCCACATGCAAGTTGGCAATGCAGCATGTGACATAGCGAGAGAGAGATACACTAAGAGATTGCGTCTCTATGCGGCGGCCTCTCTCCCTTTGTTGAGCTAGTGGGGGTGAGTCACACACCTGCAGGACTCGGGTGGGATTCAGCTGCCATGGTAATACTCAGCGCCTTGTGTACTGTACTCCAGCCGCTGAGTCGCTTAATTCACATCTAATTCACATGCATCTACCCCAACACCTCACCAGCAGTGTGATACAGGGTCAAAATATTTCCTCTGAGCTCACAGCCTCTGATTTTTAACACATCGTTATATCCTTTCACTCTGAATGTATGAACCTAAGAATGCACTTTTCAATCAACTATTACATTTCAATGAATAGTATAAATTATATAATACTATACATAATAAAAATATTGATTTTACTTTATAACATAAGGTTATAGATTTGGGAAACATTAGTTAACATGGACTAACAATGAAAATGACCTCTAAAACATTCAATCTAAGTTAATGCTAACTTTAACATTTACTAATTGTTAAACATTTACTTATTTATTAAAAACAATAGTTGCATGTGATAATGTTAATTAATGGGCTGAGCTCAAATGGACAGTGAGCAGTTGTATTTTTATTAACAAAGATTAATAAAACATGCATTATTAATTGTTAATGCATTAAAGGGGTGATGAACTGTGAAATCAAATTTTCCTTGAGCTTTTGATATCTAAGAGGTCATCATATTATAAGTTATATCCTGTAAGTTTCAGAACTGAAAACGTCCTTGTTAGTCCAATAAAAGCTTTTATTTACACCAGCCTCTGAAAACGTCTCGTTTTGAAAAGTTGGAAACTATGACGTCGAAGGAGTTAAAACACCACCCCCGCAGAAGAAGATCAACGCCTGCTTCAACACGGCCGGTTTAGCCCCGCCCACCGATTCGCGCATTACACGCATAGCTAAGTAGCCTAACATACATGCCTACCTCGTGATGACAAACCGGATCGTTCTACCGAGCAATACAGAATATTTTGCAGTGCCTGTTTGTGGAAGAAGACAGTCGCTGCATAAGCTTCCTCTGGATTCCAATAGGACTTCATGGATAAACTTTATTTTTAATGACGTTCCAGCTGATGAGGGTAAAACATCGTCGGCTGTTCGCTTCATTTCACTGAGGAGGATTGTTTTGTAAACAAGACTGGATTTGCAGACCGATTAAGAGTAAAGAACGGTGCGGTGCCGTCTATATTGGATCTGACAGGAATTGTGCAACACACGGACTCTGGGTCGAACATGTATGGGCGAATCCGGTTGCCATTTGACAACATTGGACGTTTTCCCCCACATACACCGACGGGTGAGTGAAACTCATTATAATATGCAAAACTTTTCTCCACTCGCAGCAGTGGGTGTTGTTTATTTCCAAGTCTTCAGTGCGACACGCCCATAAAAACCGACCGTTTTTCAGGAAGGCTCACAACTTGGGTACAAAATAGCCTATTACTTATTAATTTTGATGTTTTTGAATGCAAAAACCAAGCGAACGTCTTAAGTTGACATCAGACAACAATATAATAACATTTTAAAAGCCAGTTCATGACCCCTTTAACATTCACTAATGGGTCCTCCTTATTGTAAAGTGTTACAAGAAATATTAATTTAATTAATAGAAACTAGCTTTTACAGTAGTTTGTTTCTTTGCCAAATATGTTACAATTTATATCCTTTCTTTAAACTTATACGCTGAATTTCCATAATGTTTATTTTCCTAGAAAATGATGCTAAATATTGCCAGGAACCTTTCAGTAAAGTAACATGGGTTTGGATTGAAGACAGTGCTGCCTCCAACTGGTCAAGATTTACTGGTCTCCTGTTCTCCAGTGAGTTTATCGTAATCGAGAGCACTGTTGGAGAGAAAAAGAGAAGATAAAAAGATCTCTTTTTTTTATTTAGTTTGGATTGGTCAGCCTGGCATGAATCAGCAGGGAGGCTTTGAATGTTTTGTGACTCAATCACGTCAAAGATATTTTCTTTTTTACTTTTTGATAAATTGCATCTGCTTCTTACTCCACCACCAAATCTCTACCTCTCCTTCACGATCTTATTCCATCAGCTCTAAATATACACCTCCCTGTCGTTACCGTGGAAACTAAACGGCACATGTAACATAGAACTTAATGGTGTTTAAGCGTGTTTGCTGTTCTAATAATGGTGCGATCAGCCAGAGCCTCTGCTCTCCCTCGGACACCTTTTCCACTCTCTCTGCTCCTGCTGACGTCACAGCCACTCTCACAAGCTGCCTGCATACTAATGTGTCAACTGTGAAGCCTTGATCCCGCTGAGAGATGAGAGTTGGAAAGATGTTATGTGATGATCGAAAGGGTGAGATTTAAGATTTCTAATTAGATCCAAAACCTTTTTTGTTTGTTTGTTTGTTTTGCATTTAAATCAAACTACATTAACAAATTATCAGATACGACTTTGCATTTGTCAAAACATGTACTGCCAGTCTCTTGTAAAACGGAATTAATATAGTTGTGAATTGTAAAAACGATGCCTGAGAGTAAGCGAACTAAGTTAAAATGGACAGCTATGGTTGTATCGCACATGCCTTGGCTTTTTTTTTTTTTACGCACAGAGTTTTGCAAAAACAAAAGCAGGAGAGAGAGAGAGAGAGAGAGCTAAAGAGGATTTCTTAGCTCTGGTGCCAGTTTATTTCAGGCTGACCCTTCTGGCTGTGGTGTGCGTTGGCAGCACTGATGCAGTCACATGAACATGAAGCATCGTTCACTTCACAAAACTTTTCCTTCAGATCTCAGAACCATCCGTGACTTCACTTTTAGTTTCTGAGAAGGGGAGCGCTACTGATACTCAAGAAACACACAATTAGATGTTGACTTCTGCCACTCAAGCAGTATAGCATCACTACCAGAACATTACATTCGGAAGTGTGTGCTGCGAGAAAAAGACTACAAAAATACTGTGCATAATGGGAATAAAGAATCTCAAAATTTCACACATGGTGCACATGCAAATAAACTTTGATTAAAAGCCTTTTTTTGTCCATTATCTGAAAGCTATACCTCAGACATCTGGAAAGGTTTTGGCAGCAAGGGAGATAGATAGCTATTTGTGGAGAGGAAGTCACCTTGGTAGAGGGAGATTTTTATTTAAAGCCGGTGTCGGAAATGTAACGCCCCTGACCATAATCGCCAGCTTCAGCTTCCAAAGCAATTATAAAGACAGTTAATAATGTTGTTAGTTTTACCATATTAGTTAAAAGAGTTCAAGTGTATCACTGGCTCAGGCAATGTCCAGACCTCAACCTGATTGAAATTCTGTGGCAAGACCTTAAGAGAGTAGTGCATAAACAAATGCCCACTAACTTCAAAGAAATAAAGTAACATTGTAAAGAAGAGTGGGCAAAAATATGGGAGACTAAAGTCATACAGAAAAGGATAACTTCAAGTTATTGCTGTTAAAGGTGGCTCTACAGGTAATCGAATCATAAGGTGCACTTAGTTTGTCACATTGCTTCTCCATTTTGGCTTTATTTTTGCTAAATAAATAATGACACAGTGTTGTTGTTCATCTGAGTTTGTATTTAATTTTAAGACCTGCTAAAGACTTGGTGTCACAGACAGGGTTTAGATTAAACCAGGATTAAGCTTTAGTTCATATGGGACATTTAAAAAGGTATGGAATTTGCAAAATGGCCGGCAGATT